GAAATGTCACTACCATGGACCATGTGGACAAACCTCCCAACCATCCAACTAAAAAACGTCTAGACAATGGAGAGAAGGATCTGTACATTGACTACCATGCTGACTGTATCAAAAGTAAGTCACACATCCCGCAACTCAGCTTTAACCTTCAACCACAACCCTACCTCAACCAATCCACCATCACCCAAGACTAGGCACGCCCCTAACTACCTCAATTCCAACTACTGCTGGCCTTAAATGCAAGCTACTCAATAAAAGAAGCCTTGTGAATAAAATACTTGAATTTTTCCTCTTACTAAATATGGCTAAATTCGACATCATATTTGTCTGTGAAACATGGCTCAACGCATCTCTCCCTGACTCCATTACCACAGTAAGAGACTATCATGTTTACCAATCAGATCATGAAATTCGTAGAGGAGGTGCTATCTTCTATAAAAAGTCCTTACATCTCAAAAACATCCAAGTTACCCAGGAGCTTGCTCTTCCTGAGACCATCATCTGTGAACTATCCTTAAATATCACATTTCGATTCTTACTATGCCCACACGCTTTTATCTTTCTCAGTGACTTCAATCTACCTCATATTAACTGGACCCTAAATGAATGTACAACTGAACCTATACACGCAAACTTCTACAATGCTGTTACAAATCTGGGACTGGAACAACTAGTAACCAACAATACTAGACTTAACAACTGCCTCGATCTCACCTTCTGCAATAGTTTGAATTTAATTTACAGAATACAAACTAAAGAACCCTTTTCCAACAGTGACCACAATATGATTGACTTTTGTCTTAACATACGCCCACACAAAAATCATCACAATGATGTAATCCCCAATTATAACTTTTAAAAAGGCAACTATGATCTTATAGACAATGATCTCTCATCCCTTGATAGGCAATCTCTATTCACTGGATGCAATACTGTTGAAGACCATTACAACATATTTTTACTTGAAGTCAAAAGAGTCATCAAACTATATGTACCAACAACAACTCCCCAAAAAACAACAAAAAAAACAGATTACCCATAACAATAAAGGAACTTCAATCCAAAAAGAGATCACTCTGGCAGAAAAAATCTGGTCATGTTGCCAACTTCAAAAGCCAATACAAAAATTTATGTCACCAGATAAAAACTGAATGCACCAATTATCACATTAAACAAGAGGAAAACCTTCTACTCACCAATTCCACCCGCACTTTTTACAATTTTGTAAACAACAAGCTAAAAGACTCAAGGTCCATCCCACCCCTGATAGGACCTAATGGTAAAGACTGCAACGATGACACCATTAAGGCCAACATCTTTAACACATTCTTTGGTTCAGTATTTGTAAACAGCAATGGATCAGGCCCAGTATTTCCTAGTCGAACCACAGACAACTACAATGATCTAATACATATCGATTTTACAGAAGACAATGTTGAAAAAGCACTACGCAATTTAAAACCATCTCTATCTATTGGACCGGACGGAATATGGGCCTACTTCTTAAAAAAGCTATCCACTGCCATAACAGGACCTCTAAGCATAATCTTTGAAAAATCTTTCAGGACCAGCTCTTTGCCTAACATATGGTCACAAGCCACGGTCATCCCCACCTTCAAAAAGGGAGACCCCAACCTAGTTGAAAATTACAGACCAATCTCCTTATGCTGCGTCACCTATAAAGTCATGGAATCAATTATTAACCAATCCATTATCCTCCACTTAGAGACAAACAACCTACTCTCCAATAAACAATTTGGTTTCAGAAAAAAACTATCCGGTAATCTGCAACTCTTACACTGCAAAAACATATGGACTACACAACTCGATCACGACAAAACAATAGACACAATCTACATAGACTTCTGTAAAGCCTTTGATTCAGTGGTACACGACAAACTACTCCTAAAAGTAAAATCTTATGCTATCTCTGGACAACTGCATAACTGGATAGAAGCATTCCTGTCAAAGAGACAACAAATGGTCAAAATTGGGAGTGTCCTATCAAATTCTGTACCTGTCAATAGTGGTATCCCCCAAGGCAGTGTTCTAGGACCAACTCTCTTTATACTCTACATAAATGACCTCTGTGATCATATTAAGAGCAACTGATGATGTAAACCTGTTCAATACCACAGATATTACTGCTACCCTTCAAAAAGATCTTGACTATGTATCAGAATGGTCAAACAAATGGCAACTTCAAATTCCAGTCTTTTCAGGTAGTTCACAAGAATACCCCGATTAACAGAAATACATTACTACAAGATATAATGTCAGAACATACTTATCCCGCTTAAGATATGACAAAGCTCATGTATTAGAGTGGCCAATTCCATTTTCAATCTATATCTAAGCCTGAATGCAGAGTGAAAGGAGACCAGATAAACACTCCTTCCCCAGCTTTCTGTAGCTGACTCCTTGCTACATTCTCAATAAACTTCCCAGAGTTTGGGCACTGGACAATTCATATTTAAAACATACAGCTTCAGAGATGTTTTGCTGAGAAGGAGATCATCATTGTAATTTTCAACCCAGAACATCATGCTTCCCTCCCTCAAAGAAATGTTTATCAGATCTATCAGGTCATTCTCCAAATGAGAGGAGCATGGGTTAAATTTGAAGATGGCAGAAGTCATACTAACGAATATCCATTTCCCAAGTTCAAATATAATATTGCCAGATATTATCCCAGGTATTTATAGGGTAAATAGAAGAGACTTTATCAGCAAAATTTTGCATTAGCAATTGACATTTCTTATCCATCATTCCTTAATAAAGAAGAATCTTAAAATCATCAAATGGAAGTGACACTATAAAAGCACAGAAATGTCACTACTTCACTACTTTTACTTCACTACTTCATGACCCTTATCACCATGGTGTAGACTTAAATAATGAACCAGTACTCATGTTTAGTCTAATTTTGTGTTCTTTCACCATGTTCCTGGTATTACTTTTATCACTTCTTCTCTTGGAAAACCACTAAGCATCAATCAAAGGAGCAATTATTCCAAAGGCTTAAATTGCTTCCCAGTTCCATGATTCTATCCAGGTGCTCAGTGGAACTACTACCAAAAAATTTGGGGAAAATTCCCAACTGTTCTCTGAGATCCATTAGATGTCTGGGAGGAAGCTTTTAATAAGACCATTTCAAGCTTCAGTGGCTACTGATAGCCACAAATCTCGTTTAGGCCAGGAAGACAAAGGATTTAACCTAATGTCCTCAATATCCAGATCAAATATCAACTTTTTAAAGAGAAAAAGGAAATTCAAAGTACATCTGCATACGTGCACTTGGGACAAGTTTATAATTGTAATAGAAATCACATATACCTAAATCCTCCCTAAATCTCCCTAAATGAATGGAAGCTGGAGGAACACCAAAACAGTTTACTATTGTAGAAAGTTAGCAGCCACCCCTCCTAGAAGAATGAAATATTTTGAGAGATATTTAAAAAGGCAGAATATTATATTTACATAAAGGAGAAACATGCTTCTAAAGACAGAAACTCAGAGCCTCAGCTCCCTGCCCCCAAGCCTTTATAAATGCAGATTTGGTAATCCATTACTCCTGGCAGGTCTGAACAAAGATAGGATCAGCCCTCAGCACCTTCATTGCATCAACACACTTCAACCAAACCTGACTTCAAGACAAACATAGCATAGCCCCATGGGAGTTTGACAGCAAACAATAGAATACTTGCCCCAGCCACAGGAACAAGAAGCTCAAGGACAAGGCCCAAGAGAGGGTATAAATACCTCTCACTCTCCACTCCATGTGCTCAGCTGCACCAGGACCTCAAACCCATGTGTTCATACATAAACCCTCATTCCAAACAGCCTCCATGTTTCCATTGTCTTTCTCCCTACTTGGAACTGAACCAGATGGATATTTCCTCCAACACTACATACAACAAGAAGGGGTCTTGTAAGGTATCTTGACCCTTCACGTTCAGCCATTGATACTACATTATTCCTAAAGCATGGATTCAGATTTTCACAGTAATTGCTACTGCTTCATCTTTCCAGTCCTGGAAATAGTTCTTTTCTACACATGATATACCTGCAAACCAGCCTTTGATGAACAGAAAACTAGCAAGTTTATGTATGCAAGTTAATTTACATCCTAAAGAAAATAAGAACGATTTTAAAATGCCAGATATTTTGAGTTAAAATTTTAACATCAAGAACACATGCACGTGCATCTCTAATTATCCATCTTGTGTAACATTTCTTTTAATCTATTGGTAAGCATTCATGATCTATAAAGAGTATTTTCATGCATCTTTATATTATGTATTTACTAATATCCTTAATAAAAAAGATTTGGACATAGCGGAGATAAACAATTTAGGTTATAAAAATATACTGTAAATTCATGTAAAAATATGCTCAATTATTTGATTTGTATAATGCACAAAATAAGGGAAATTATTACTGAAATTCCTTTTCTGTATGTTTTACAGTATATTGTGCTTGAGGATGCTAAAATGTACACTCAGAAATTATATTTCGAATGGCCCAGTTATTTTTACTCCTTCCATCAGTTTCCCTTGGGACATAGAATAAGCTTGTTCTCTGGCAGCAAAATATGCTAATCATGTGACTTATCACCCAGTGAATTAGCATTGCTTCTCTCATCTGAGCCATGTTCCCTTGAAAAACCATGGCATCTTAATAGAAAATAATGACTGTGTGATAAACCTCATTAGAAAATCAATATATTGACACTAGCCTCCCAAATGTCTGAATAGTAATGGATTGTCTCCTCATTAAGAAGACTATTAACGTGTACTTAAGCATCGTTAAATTATATTGATCAAATATTATTCACGTACTAATTTTCTGGAAAGCAGTAGATACTGGAAAGAAATGTAAGCTTATGTATTTAAAAGAGAAGCATGATATATGATAAAGGAAACTTAACTCAATATCCAGTAACTATTAAAAATGTACAGGAAGACTTTGAAACAATATTGGAAGGTAATATTACTTACCAAAAAACTTCCAAAGGCTGAGTTAAATATAGCAGCTGCCTAAAAGAATGAAAGAAACATCAATAATACTCTTGCTATTTCATGTATAATACTCAGCTTAATTCATATTTTCTAGTAAACTACTGCCATTTAAAATCATTGCAAAATATCTTATGAAAAGTCACATTTCAGATAATAGTTACTTATTTTATTATTCATGTTTAAAATTTGCATTTCACATTTATCCTCCTTTGGCAACTTAAAAATAACGGAAGTTATTAAAAAACACCTATTACCATGTTTATGCTATATAAAATTCCTTATAGGAAAAGCACGTAGACTTTTTTTTAAAGAAGTCAATAGAAAAATAACGTAATAAGTAATTAATAGTATGGTGCTTATCTGGATATATATTTTAGTGTATTTCAAGTAGAATATTGAATTTAATCCTTTGCTACAAGCATTGAAATGAATATATACTGCAGTAAAATTACAACTTATCTATGTGCTTTAATTCCAGAGGCCAGAAAGAATACAATGAATCCAGCCAAAAGAAAAAGGAAAAATAAATGACCCAACTGAGTTTGAAGAAATATTTAGCTTACCTAAATATCCAAGAAATAATGTTGGGGGAAAACATTCTGATAAACTACTAAATTCTGAGAAACAGAAAATGCTTAAATCTTGTAAAGCTTCTTGCTTTACCATAACGGAAGGAATTCTGCCATGGCATCCAGTCCGATGATGTAGAAAAACAAGCAGAGCAAAAAGTGGGGAGGGGCAGAGAAAAGAAAATGTGCCATTTACATGGAAAACAGGAGCAGAATCGAAGTAATCACCAAGGACACCATCCAGCCATGGAGGAAAGATTTTTTGAAAGAGCTTGAAAGTTTGAACATAGTCCAAAACACAGGCTAAGCTGAGTAGAACCTACTGCTCTATTATGAGAGTGCAATGAAAATGAATAGCTAATGAGATGCTTGGCTCCAGAGAGCTTAGCTTTCTTATTCAAGTTCATAATTTATTTAAAGCTTTGATAATTTCATTAGAGTCATCCTTGGCTGGCCTTATCAATAAAAGATAGCCCTGGACCACAGCTTCTCAGTGGCCCACACACAAGCAAGCACAGTCTTGTAATATTTTGTTTTGCTTTGCTTCCTTGTTTGCTTGCTTTCTAAAAAGGACAATGGCATATGGTGTTCCATGTTGTGGGGAGAGCTTCTGAATAGAAACAGCTAAATAAAACATCACAGTTGACAGTTATAAAACTACAGCAAAATATTTTCACACCTCTACTTTCTCAGCATCTGCCTTTGAACATGAGGAGGAGGAACCAGTCCAAATAATTATACTTGCAACAATTAATAAACATGATATGGTTTAACGAGTCAGAGTGGAACATTAGGATTTCAACTTGTAATTCCACACCTTGATAAACCTCGAGGAAATAATCTATGACACACCAATGCGGCTTAAGTTAAGTTCAGGTACTTGCTCTTACATGACTGTTCCTATTCCTTCTAATCATCTCCCAAGATCTCTCCTGGTGTCCTCCTGCCTTGAAAGGCAACAAATAGCAACTAGGATCTTTCTGCTATAGCACCCTACTTGTAGAATGGACTCATGAGTTGGTCATACCTGACATTATGATTGAAAGGATATGGGTTAAATATAAATTGGTGACTGGACGTTATGACTAAATATTTTAAAATATGGACCAAACGAGAGGGCCCTCAAGAGCAAAACTTCTTGGGTGCATTTAGAGATATTTGTGTTGTGGTTCGCCGGCAGCCTGCACAGATGGTAGTGGAATCAGACAGTGAGGAAGAATGGGAAACAGTCCAGGAGTCTGGAGAAGACTCAGACAAGGGTCCTGTGTCTGATGCAGATATGGGGCCAGGACCATCTGGGAGCTGGGAGCTGACTCCAGAGCCTCCTAAGTCTGGCAGCAGCAAGGCAGAGGAACAAGGGGAGCCTGTTCCCAGTGTGCGTGTGCGCAGAGCTGCTAGTAGGCAAGAGCAGCTAAGACAAAAGGGCGGACTTGAGAGTAAGGCTTGAAGGTGATTGCCCCTCCCCTAAAGGAAGTGCAAAGGTAGAGAAACCTTTGCAGGAAGTAAAGTTGTTCACTCTGTTTGGATTAAACCTTGAAGTTCTGTGTAGACTTTGTACTTCGGATGGCTTTTTACAGTTAATTTGGCACATTAGTTGTTGGCAACAATTCAAAGGACATAAAGATGGGTGCTTATCTCAAGGGACTGTTTGGGACTCATTACAGGCTGGGAATGAACCTAAGTCCCAGTGTTGAAATAAAACAAGAGTTGTTTGGACTAAGCATGTGCTTAATTACAGTCTCGGGAAGCCTTGGTCAGAACAATTTGATACCATTTTATATTTTAGGCACTCAAAGTTTTATTCTCCTGAACATTTAATAATTACATTTTCTTAGTTATATATTATATACGCTGCTCAAAAAAATAAAGGGAACACTTAAACAACACAATGTAACTCCAAGTCAATCACACTTCTGTGAAATCAAACTGTCCACTTAGGTAGCAACACTGACTGACAATCAATTTCACATGCTGTTGTGCAAATGGAATAGACAACAGGTGGAAAGCATAGGCAGTTAGCAAGACATCCCCAATAAAGGAGTGAGTCTGCAGGTGGTGATCACAGACCACTTCTCAGTTCCTACGCTTTCTGGCTGATGGTTTGGTCACTTTTGAATGCTGGCGGTGCTTTCACTCTAGTCTAGTGGTAGCATGAGACGGAGTCTACAACCCATACAAGTGGCTCAGGTAGTGCAGCTCATCCAAGATGGCACATCAGTGCGAGCTGTAGCAAAAAGGTTTGCTGTGTCTGTCAGCATAGTGTCCAGAGCATGGAGGCACTACCAGGAGACAGGCCAGTACATCAGGAGATGTGAGGAGGCCGTAGGAGGGCAACAACCCAGCATCAGGACCGCTACCTCCGCCTTTGTGCAAGGAGAGACAGGAGGAGCACTGCCAGAGCCCTGCAAAATGACCTCCAGCGGACCACAAATGTGCATGTGGCTGCTCAAACGGTCAGAAACAGACTCCATGAGGGTGGTATGAGGGCCCGACATCCATAGGTGGGGGTTGTGCTTACATACCAACACCGTGCAGGATGTTTGGCATTTGCCAGAGAACACCAAGATTGGCAAATTCGCCACTGGCGCCCTGTGCTTTTCACAAATGAAAGCAGGTTCACACTGAGCACATGTGACAGATGAGACAGGGTCTGGAGAAGCTGTGGAGAACATTCTGCTGCCTGCAACATCCTCCAGCATGACCGGTTTGGCAGTGAGTCAGTAATGGTGTGGGGTGGCATTTCTTTAGGGGGCCGCACAGCCCTCCATGTGCTCGCCAGAGGTAGCCTGATTGCCATTAGGTACCAAGATGAGATCCTCAGACCCCTTGTAAGACCATATGCTGGTGCGATTGGCCCTGGGTTCCTCCTAATGCAAGACAATGCTAGACCTCATGTGGCTGGAGTGTGTCAGCAGTTCCTGCAAGACAAAGGCATTAATGCTATGGACTGGCCCACCCGTTCCCCAGACCTGAATCCAATTGAGCACATCTGGGACATCATGTCTCGCTCCATCCACCAACGCCATGTTGCACCACAGACTGTCCAGGAGTTGGGGGATGCTTTAGTCCAGGTGTGCGAGGAGTTCCCTCAGGAGACCATCCGCCACCTCATCAGGAGCATGCCCAGGCGTTGTAGGGAGGTTATACAGGCACGTGGAGGCCAGACACACTACTGAGCCTCATTTTGACTTGTTTTAAGGACATTACATCAAAGTTGGATCAGCCTGTAATGATTTTTTCCACTTTAATCTTGAGTGTAACTCCAAATCCAGACCTCCATGGGTTGCGAAATTTGATTTCCATTGATAATTTTTGAGTAAACAAATAAACAATGTATTTAATAAGAATATTTCATTCATTCAGATCTAGGATGTCTTATTTTTGTGTTCCCTTTATTTTTTGGAGCAGTGTATATAATATTTTTCATTTTTATGAAGGGGCATTTTATTATTGTTGTTGTTTAGATAGCTTAAAGATAGAAAGAAATACAACAGTTAACAATTGAATAACAGCTATTTCTGGCTCTACTATATATATTTCACAAAAATGTAACTTGTAACCTATTACTGTATTTTTTTCCATTTTCTTTCAGACCATTCAATGAATAGTAGCCACATGCATGTCTCCTTAGGGAAAGCATTCCATAACTTAGGAGCTACAATAAGGAGGACTTCTCCTGCATAGCAGACAGATCAACAGCATCAGTCACAGCTGGAAAATCTTAAAGCAAGCCTCTGTTAATCTAAGTCACAAAGTAAGCTTGTAACAGCAGTGTCACCCTCTTATGGCCAGCTCTTAAGCCATATAAAGACCAATTCTTAAAATATTTAACACTTCAGATCAGATGGATTAGAAAAACTCTGAAATTTCTTGGTGTCCTTTTCTTTATCTTTTGGAGAGTTTTGGTTTTATACCACATCATTTTCCCTGGGAAGCATGGTCAACTGAAATTCAAGAATAAAGTCTGCTATACCTTTGGCAAGTAACAGTGAAAAAGAGGAAATTGGGAGCAGTTAAAGTAACTAAAGAAAAATCCATTTCTGAATCCTCACACTGTGTACTTCAGCAATTATAACAGGCAGAAGAAATTGGAGACTCATTCCACTCCTCTGTTTTCAATTGCACAAAAACAAAACCAAGTCCTGGATTAGAACTAACAGACCTGTAGGAAATCACTTAATAATGCAAATTAGCATAATATTTACTCGTCACTTTGGGAAGAAAAGTATTACATAAATTCTAAGTCTTCTCTAGAATATTTAGAAACCAACATGGTTAAATTTTTCAGTGGTCAATACAAGCCATGAATTAATGTTTTCATTTGACTGAAAACCTTTTTCCCTAGTACGTGCTTAAAAATGTTCCTGAAATTAATCCTTTCTTAGGTTAAACACATGCACTATATACATACTCATTCTAGCAATAAGATAAAAATGCCACACTTATAAA